AACTGGCTGCAACACCTCGGGGAAGTGTGATCACTGCTACATAAGTTACTTATTAAGTCTTTGTATTGCAAGACCTCACCTTCCTGGGAAAACCTTTTTCTTTTTTAAGATATACATTTAAAAGAAAAATCTCTTTGGCTGTGAGCCTAGTCTTTAAGGGATGAGCCATCTCCCCAGCCAAAAATATATTGTTAATTTTTTTTTATATGTATGGGTGTTTTGTCTGCATGTGTGCCTGGTGCCTGTGGAGTACAGAAGATGTTGGGTCCCCTGGGATTGGAGTAAGAGGTGATTGTTAACCACCTCTGGGTACTGGGAATCGACTCTGGATTCTCTGCAGTCAGTGCTCTTAACTGACTGTTAAGAACATCTCTCCAAGCTGGGCAGTGGCGGCACAGGCCTCTAATCCCAGCACTCAGGAGGCAGAGGCAGGCGGATCTCTATGAGCTCAAGGCCAGCCTGGTTTACAGAGTGAGTTCCAGGACAGGCTCCAAAGTTACACAGAGAAACCCTGTCTCAAAAAACAAAAAGGAAAAGCTCTCTCCAGCCTCCCTGTAAACAAACACACAGCACAGGGATTCGATAATGAGCACATGTACTCACGTACTTTTGATCTTCATCAATACTGGGGTGGCTGTCAGCATTATGGCATGGCAGAAGTGGTGGCAGAGCGGTTGCCACAGTGGCAGAGAACGGGGGAGGGGAGCTAAAGAGTTTCTGAGCACAGAACCGGGGAGCAGAAACGAAAAAGGCACGGGCTTGGAAACTGGGAGTCCTTGCTGCTGCAAGACAGCTGCCAAGCCTGATGCCAAGGGTCTCCCACACCTTGGGCCAGAGATCTGTAATTCTAGCTATCTGTCAAGGGCTGAGGCCCACGAGCTGTAACACTTTGCTGTAGGCCTACCGGTGCCATACTGAGGCCTGTATGAGAGCTTTCACACTGGAATTGCTGCCAGCTGCTGCCGCCCAAGGTTGAGGATCATGGTAGCGGACACAGGAAAGGACCACTGGCTGTTGAGGCCCAGACCCTCCACCATGAGTGCCCAAAGCTTTTAGTCTCAATTTCTAAAACTGAAGCAATAGGTCCTAGTTCTCAGGAATTGGAGCTGTAAGCTTCTGTGTCCACAGGTTCAACTCCAACATCTTGCACCCAAATGCCCGGGACTGTTAGCACTGGAAGAGCTTCTTGCCTATCCCGGTAGAGCCAGAGGATTCCAGCTGATGGCTGACAATAAGGACTCAGAAAGGAGGGGAAAGAGGAAGGGTAGAAAAGATACTCAAAGAAATGACTGAAAGTTCCCAAATGTGATAACACACGCGAATCTGTACACCTAAGAAGCTAAAAGAACTACCAATAGGCTAAATTCAGAGACTCACACCTGGACACAGTAAACGCAGAATCAAACAAGTTTAAACTGGTAAATGGTCTTCAAGTTCAAGGAAGCCTCAGTAAAAATGACAGATCACTTTATACCAGAAGGCCAAGTGACAGTTGGTTGACAGAGCCAGATATCAAAGAAAAGATAGCTGCCAACTAAGCAGAACTATTCAAGAACAATGGGAGCATTCCATGAAGGAACAACTCAGCATTTCTACCCTATAGGAAATATCAAAGGGATCCCTTCAAGCACATACAAAAGGACTAGCTTAGTGAACCCCAAAGAAGGAATAAAGACCCCAGTGTTCTAGTCTCATTCTTTTGCTGTGATAAACACAGATCAAAAGTAACACAGGGAGGGAATGGTTTATTTGGTCACAGTCCACAAATGAGGAGAGTCAGGTAGAAACTCAGAAAGGAACTGGAAGCAGAAAGAATGAAGGAATGTTGCTTGCTGGCAGGCTCATATCTGGCTAGCATTTTGTTTTGTTTTGCTTTGTTTTTGAGTCAGAGTTTCTCTGTATAACAGCCCTGGGTGTCCTGGAACTCGCTTTGTAGACCAGGCTGGCCCCAAACTCAGAGATCCCCCTGCCTCTGCCTATCAACCAAAGGTGTGCACCACCACTGCTTGGCTCTAGTTAGCTTTCTTATAGAGTCCAGGATAATCTGCCTAGAGATGGTGCCACCCACAGTGGCCTGAGCCCTCCTGCATTAACAGTCAAGACAATCCCTCCTCAAGTATGTCCTCACCCCAGCCTTATTCAGGTAATTCCTCAACTGAGGATTTCCTCTCTGATGACTCTAATCTGTATCGAGTTGACAGTTAAGGCCTCCCTAGTATATACACATCACCAACCTGCCTATCAGTTGTGGTTGCTGTAACTGACAGAGTCCTTTGAGTAGAATTTTTTTTTTTTTTTTTTTTTTTTTTTTTGCAGTTTTTGTAATGTGTGTAGTAGTGGGGATGAAGTCCTGGGTCTCATGCATGCTCTCTACCATTGCATGTATCTTTGACCCCAAATGTATTGTTGTTCATTTTTTTTTTTTTTGGTTATTCTATTTCCACAGTCCTATCATACAAATTTTAGAATAAGCTGGTCTCCATCTACAAAGAATTCTACTAGGATTTCTATTGGAGCAGGGTAAAGTCCAGATCAATCTGGAGCAAAACAGCAGCTGCACAATATCGAGATCATAGCACTGGAGTTGCTCCTTAAGATTTTTAAGTGACAGTATGTTCACACGGAGATGCTGATGGAATCTTTTAAAGTACAAATCTAATGGTGTCAGTAGTTACGGGAACTAATTCACAAAGGCGTTGTGTATACCAGGCAAGTGCTTAGCTCCCTGAGGGACAGCCACAGCCCACCCCAAGCTCTTCTGTTCTCTCTTCCTCCCTGTGCACCCTACATCTGAGACAAGATTCAGATATAGGTCAGGCTGGTTTTGAACTTGTTATGCTCCTGCTTTAGCCTCTTGATCTCAAAAGTTATTAACCATCACATTTATTTATGACTCATACTCAGTGCTTTTAGAGGAATTGGAAAGTATATTGCTTTACTCATTGGTGTAACAAAACATCCTATTGAAACAATTTAAGGGAGGAAGGCTTTTTTTGGCTGACAATTTCAGAGGGTCTCAGTCCATTATGGTAAGAAAGGTTATTTCAGCAAGCAGTTCCATCCACAGTGATAGGAGTACATGGCAAAGAGGCTCATTCATATGGCAGCAGATAGGAAGTAGCAGAAACACAGACATCTCCCCTTAAGGCACCTTTTCTGTTGTGTCAATAAAAAGCGTACTGCTTCTCTGTAGTCACTGCAGTTGCCTTGTCTAAAACCTTAAAAGAGTTTGAAATCCTTTCTTTACCAAATAGCAGACTTCTTACCACCTTCAGTTTTGCTTCAAAAAAATTTCATTTCTCATTGTAAATCTGGACAAAAGTAGCTGCTAACTATACCAAAAGAGCCTGGTTTTGGGGGTCAGGGTGCATTGTTTGAGACAGTTTCACTACATAGCCCTGGCTGGCCTGGCACTCACAGGGACCAGCTTGCCTGTGTTTCCCAAGTGCTAAGACACAGAATGCTGAAACCCACAGTTCCACACCTGGAGAAGAGTTCTACATCTGGATTGGCAGGCCGCAGGGAGAACAAGCCACGAGGCCTGGCTTGATCTTCTGAAACTTCCCATGACACACTTCCTACAAGGCCACACCCACCTCCAATAATGCTACTCCCTATGAATATTTGGGGGCCATTTTCATTAAAACCACCACTGCCACCTACACTGTGAATTGGGAAGGTAAATAGCTTCAGGCTTTATTACATCAAATAGACCAATAAAGATAAATACACATTTTAGACTATTGTTTAGAAAAATATAGTTCTCCCCCAAAAAACAATAAAAAAATCGTCTAGCTGTTTCATCACATGTATATAGCATTTTGCCTGCATGTATATTAGCGTACCATGTGTCTAGAAGAGGGCATTGGATACCTTGGAAGTGGAGTCCCTGATGGCAGAGTCACCATGTGGGTGCTAGGACTCAAATTTTTAACTACTAAGCCATCTCTCTTTACCCTTAGACTACGATTTTTTTTTTTTTTTTTAAAAGGATTTCTGGCTGTGCTGGACTGCAGACCAGGACTGGCCTCAAACTCACTCTGCCTAGCTAGACTAAAAAAAAAAAAAAATTTTTTTTTTTTGGTTTTTCAAGACAGGGTTTCTCTGTGGCTTTGGAAGCTGTCCTGGAACTAGTTCTTGTAGACCAGGCTGACCTCAAACTCAGAGATCCCCTGCCTCTGCCTCTTGAATTCAGGGATTTAAGGCATGCACCACTACCTCAAGGCGTCCTATGTAATTTTTATCTAGCAGAGTCCAGTGCACTGTCCTGTCCTGCTCTTTAGCCACAGCTTGGGAGGGGACCAGTCCACACAGCATGTGGCTACAGGTCACTGAGGAAGAGGCTCACTCTCAGACATCCTCCTGAGCTTCCAGGGCCTCCTGATACTATTCTAGTATCCTCCCTTCTTAAGCTTATCTGATCTTTGTAGCATGAGCAATTACTTTCTTGATTTGGTAGTTTCCCATTACAACCGAAATAATCTTAGCTGATATTTTCAACAGGTATCTAAGTAGAGTTGATAGAATGATGAATTCTGTATATCAGAGGGGTGCTAAACAGTAAGTCTTAGGGTATTTGTCTGACAGTATGCATTCCACTGTATAAAATACATATTTAGAATTTCATCTATACTTGGAAAATTTTGTATCCTGTGTTTAAAATATCCTGAAACTCACATTTATATTTTATACAAGTATATAATTTGAACACTGTTTGAGCCAAGATTTTCTTAAAAGATACTATTTGTGTGTTGTTTACACACATGCATGATAAATGTGAGTATAGGCATAGATGTGCCAAGACATACACACGGAGGTCAGAGGACAACTTTCTGCAGCTGGTTTCTGCTTTCCACCATGGAATTCGAGGGTCAAACTGGTTATTAAACTTGCACAGCAAGTATATTTACCTGAAGAGCACTCACTCACTGGCCCAAGGTAAATACTCTTATATTTTAACGACACAAAGGTTAAGAGCATCAAATATGAAAACACCATAGCAAGAGATATTATCCCACTTTATTTGTAACAGGGATAATTAGAAATAGATATCCAGCAGAAAATTGTTTTTTAAAAAGACCACAAAACCACATTCTATGCTAAACCACAAAGTGGAACTTTGAATTATTGTTCAAAACGTTGTGCAAAGTATTTAATGACACGTAGAGATGTAACTTATTGTATCACCTCGTGTCCCCTGGAAGTCTACTGCCATCCTTCCTATTCCTCTGCCATCCTCATTGACCCTCTCTCTGCCTCTTTTGTGCTTCTACAACTGTACAGAAATCTCAATCGGGAGAGACTTCTGCAACCTAGCACAGCGCAGCATTCACCACAAGCCAGCATGCACGTGCTCCTCTCGTGTCCCAGTAGCCGGAGCTTCCCAGTGCAGTCACCCTTCTCCTGAGTGCTAGATCTGGGAGGTGCACAGGATCACAACCACACAGGAAGGTGCGTTAACAGAGGAACCTTCGAACTATTCCAAGTCACCAGTCTTCAAAAGTCTTGACCAGGAGTAGATTTGTCTTCTACACAAGCTGCAGAAGAGAATAAGCACATCGGCTTGTAAAAATTATCAACTTAATCACCATCCCCCAAAAACCATCCATGCACCAAAGAAAGAATAAAATCCAACTTGAGTTAGATACTCTTCTTGGGGAAAATGGAAGGAACACTCTGAATTTAAATGCAAAATCTAAGGCTAGAACTGAACCAAAATCCAGAAAACATGGAAAAAGATAAAAACCACATTTTTTAAAAAAAGCTGCATCGAGCCTCTAATCCAGCATTTAGGAGGCAGAGGCAGCCAAAGCTGTGAGTTCAAGACCAACCTGGAGAGCTCTAGGACAGCCAGGACTACATAGAAAGACACCATCTCAACCAAAACAAACAAACAAACAAAACATAATAACAATAACAGAGTTGAATGGAGATGAAGAATTAAATTATGATTACATCAAAAATGTCACAATATGGAATCTGGAGGGTTGGCTCAATGGTGAAGCACACTTGTTCTTGACAGAGGACCCAGATTTGGTTCCACCAGTCACACAGCAGCTCACTATGTAACTCCAGTTTCAGAGGATGCAACATCCTCTTCTGATCTCTGTGGGTACCAGGCATGAGTGCAGGACACAGGCATATCCAGCAAAAGACTTATGCACGTTAAAAACAACAACAAAAGGCTCACAAATAGGAAGAGATACAGTTGTTACTATTACCCAAAGCAATCCTCATGTTCAACTAAATCAAGTCACAATTAGATACTTGAAAAAAAGCGGAACAAAAAGAAAAAGAAATAAATAAAGAAGAAGAAAAAAAGGAAGAAAGAAATTTCTTTCTTTTCTTTTTTTTTGAAACTGTAGCCCTGGCTGTCCTAGAACTAGCTCTGTAGATCAGGCTGTCCTTTAACTCACAGAGATCCACCTGCCTCTGTCTCCTAGGTGCTGGGATTAAAAATGTGAATTGCCACTGCCCACTGAAATAAATTTCTTAAAAATTCATATATAGGCCTGGAGGTGGTGGTGCATGCCTTTAAGAGCTAGTTCCAGGACAGGCTCAAAAAAAAAAAAAAAAAAAAAAAAAAAAAAAACATTTATATAGAACGTGAATCTAAAAGAAATAACACATGGCAAGACCCTACCTCAAAATAAATAAATAAAATAAATAAATAAATAAATGAAAATAAAATGAAATAAAATAAAAAGCCAGGCACTGTGGCACACACCTTTAATCCCAGAGGCAGGCAGAACTCTATATATTAGAGGCCAGCCTGGTCTATAGAGCTAGTTACTGGGCAGTCAAGGCTGTTATACAGAGAAACCTTGTCTTGAAAAACCAAAACCAAAATCAAAACCAAACAAAAGATGAAAAGAAAGACAACCTACAAAATGGGAAACAACCTGACACTCTTCACAAAGGATGATGGACATATAAAAGCAATGTAAAAGAACAAACAGAACCCTTTGGCCAGTAGGCTGAAGATGCTGTATTTCATGCAAATAAGCTACGGTACACCATTTTCATCCACTGTCAGGGAAAAATTAAAATACAAAGTATTAACAAGTGTGGAACAGAAATTCTATAACTTACAGGAGTGTAAACTAAACACTTTAGAGACTCTAAAGTGTGTTACCTTAAACCAATCCATTAATTCTATTCCTTTATAGACCCTGAGTAACTGCTGCAAATTATAGCAAGAGATATTTATTTATAAAGAGTTACAGTAACAATGTGCATTCCAAAAACTGACAATAGTCTAAAGCTCTATTATAATACCTAATCATAACACAGTCATAGAACAAAATGTTATACAGGGCCTCATGTGGTAGTGCACTTGTTTAATCCTGGCACTCGAAAGGCAGAGGTAGTTGGATCTCTGTGAGTTTGAGGCTAGCAAGTTCCAGGACAGCCAGGGTTACATAGAGAGACCCTATCTCAAAAATGAAACAGAAGGACAGACAGAACTCATGGCAGGCAAACCCAGACAGAGAAGCAGGCATGTACATATTTTTATTGAGAAAGGAAGAAAAAGATGCTTTTATTGAAAAAGACAGAGAAACCTTATTAAGGCTGTTATCTCAATTTCAAGAGATGATTCAGAGAATAAGAACATTAGCAGAGTCATTTTTACCTTTTTAGTCTATTTACATGACTTCTTTTCAGTATTCAAAACCTAAACAAAAAAGAAAATGTGATTTTTAAAAAAAGTCATTATTACCTACTATGTAAGTCCTATTTTATACTTCTCATTGGTTCTAATAACATTAAATCTAACATGTGGTACTACAACAAGAAATAAAAAACTAATTTCACATAAGTATTTGGTATGATTTCTAGTTCCACAGATACCTTCTCTATTTTAGACATAAAAGTGTCTACCATAAGTACCTGACTTTCTCATATTGACTTCTGCTCAGGGAGTTTTTGCCGCCGGCAGTTTTAGGGTTATTTTTTAATTTCCACATTTATTTAAAGTTGATTTTGAAGACACTATCCTCACCTAATCTATGGGAAAAGAATGTCAATGACCGCAACTTCACAATAGCCTTTTCTCGGAGAGTAGGAATATCGGAAGACAAACTACCTGATACCTGACTAGTTGTTGACATAACTAAAATGTTTGTCAGCAATGACTCTGATTTCCTTCTGAGCTTATAACAAGAGGACTGTGATATGCCTCTATTTCCTTTGCTTGTCTTGATCTAAAACAACTACTAAAAGTTGCTAACTAGGGTAGAGTGATGGCACAGTGAGTAAAAGTTGTTGCTGCCAAGTGCAACAACCTGAGTTTGATGCTAGGGATCCACATGAAGAGAACCAACTCCTCAGTCTTTTCTGACTGCCACAAGTCTGCACACACACATGGTAAATCATAAAAGTTATAGATCTAGAACAATACTGAACTTAAGAACATTCTAATTCATATTATCAATGGATATTAATCTTTCTTTCAGTATCATATACTAGCCCATGAAGCTCTCTCTCTTTTCAAATGTCATCTTTGGTCCAAACATGCTCTTTTTAAAAATAGAAACAAGATTACCACAGTACTTACTCTAGCCAACAGTTCTTGTGTTTCTGCAGTCAGCGGGGCATGAGAAAAATTACAGTGATCGCCCTGATAACATTTTGTTCCTGTGTGATAAAACTTGCAAGGGTATTCATGTAGCACAGTGTTAAGGGAAAGAACAATTTCAATTCAACTGAATAATTCAATATTAATTAACTATTTTGACTCTTAAAATCTTTCCTACCAATAAAATCACTGTTTCCTATGTAAAGTATGAGACAATAAAAGTCTCATTCTAGAAAGACAATTTTTGCTCCCTCATATATATTCTCATAATGGGCCACAGGTAAGTTTCAGTCACAGATGAAAGAAATGTGTTTTAATTACCTTGAGAGATGTGATTATTTTAAAATGTTCTTTGAGGATTGGGTAAATTAAAGTCAATGACAGCAGTCAGTATGTTCTACAAATCTGTACTTTTAAAAAAATGTATTAGGTTTGTTAAAGTAGAACTAATTTATATAACATTATTATCTAGAAAATATCAAGTTAGAGGTGGGCGTTGGTGGTGTACACCTTTAATTCCAGTACTCAGGAGGTGGAGGCAAGTAGATTTCTGTTGTGTTCAAGGCCAGCCTGATCTACAGAGCTTGTTCCAGGACAGGCTCCAAAGCAATATAGAGAAATCCTGTCTCGAAAAACCAAATTTAAAAAAAACAAAAAATAAAGTTAGAATCTGAGACTTCTATGGTATAAGACTATAAAGAAACAGCTTTTGTGTGACCAATGATGCTATTACCCTAAATGCCTGTATTTCATGTTTTTTTTTTTTTTAACAAGTTTGGGCTATTAGAAATAAAGCTACCTTTCAAGTTTAGGGAACCTGTATAAAATATCTCTTTTTCTATATGAATACAGACTCAATAATTAGACATGATCACAACAGAAACTAACATCTTCCTGGGTCTAACCTGGTCTCATGAACCTTCTACCACCTAGGCTGAGCCAAATGCACTTAAATAATTTAGGGTTTTTTTTTTAGGGTCCTTTTCTTATGTAAAAGTGTATACAATTGCAATCACTTTGATATCAACTTGGGCTTAGAACACTTTGTTATAACAACAGCTGTGGTTTATTTAAATGTTCATGTTATAAGAAGAATAAAGGGAATCTTGTGATAAAGGATATTATGCAAATACAGGCAGTTCTCTCCTTTGGTGCAATACCCTTGTACATAATACTTACACATCTCTTTTTTCTTCTCTATCTCTGCATCATGATCAAACTTACACTGGTCTCCCTGGATGTAAGAATAAGCACAAGTTACTAATCATAGTTACACTTTTGCAACTTAACTTCAAATGAGCAAACAAGTCCAGAAAGAATCCTAACAAGCTAGTGACTAAGCACATGACAGCATGCTGAACTTTTAAAAATTCTTAAACATCTTTAATAAATTACCTTTAAAAACATAAAGTGACACATCACGAATTTCCTAATTAAACTTTTTCCAAGAACAAGAGTTTCTAAAGTTTCTAAAAACTTTATGTTTTTAAAAGACTCAAACACAGATAGCTGTTCTTGTAGACTTATGCCATAATCACAGTGTAGTATGTTTTTGTTTACACACTCTCATACCTTAATACATTTTCTTTCAAGAAAGTATTTGCAAACTTGCTTCCCCTTACGTTCCACTGTGTGCTGATTGATGAAGCCTTGACTCATCCTTATACGTGGCTGCTTCTCTTCAGGTTTATCAGCCTTTAATACAAAAGAAAATTAAAAAAAGGAAAAAAATAAAATATTTCATTTTGTTTTGCAAAACTGCTTTAAACTATTTTTTAATACATTAGAATGCGCCCCTTTTAGCTTGGCATGGTAACACAATGTGTCATCTTAGCATTCCAAGGATGAAGCAGGATTACAAGTTCAAGACCAGCCTAGGCTATACAACAAGACCCTGGCTCAAAAAAGTATCCCTCCTAAAAGAGCTTTCAAAGTTGGACTGTAGTATATCAGTTATAAAATAAGTGCTTATCAGTTTCAACAGCATTCAACCATTGAGTACTAGTTGGTAAAATTTGAGTATCTTATTATACTTTATCCTTATTTTATAAAAATGAATAAAAACCTTAAAAAGGAAATATATTACTTGTAATGAAAAGAAATCTAAAACTCTGCTTTAGGATTATGGAAACAAAGCTGGGACTCACGATAGACAAGAAGCAGCAAAAGGACTCTAGTTCCAATGATAGCTTTCCAGCTTAATGTTTAAAAAGAAATGAGAACCTTAAAATCTACTTTAGCTCTTTAGAAACAAAAACTATTTTTAATGTGTTAATTTGTGACAGAGCATACCGTTTCTGTATGCCTAAGTAGCAAATACAGTTTTAGAAATATGGTATATGCAATTAAGGAGCTAACCCATCTCCTAAGTGACCTGCTTTGCAAGAGTACCAAGTTATATAAGACCATAAAAATCATACGTAAATCTCAGTTCAACTCTTTGGTTTTAGATAATTATGCGACGAGAGCCTAACATATGCCTAGAACTTGCTCTTCATGTAGAAGGGCTGACAGTTCTGGGTGAAGACTCATCAGAGCCAATGTTAAGACAAAGAAGAGGGAGAGGACAAAGTTCAGCCTTGGCTTGGCCCTGTGTGGAATAAGCAGTGATCTGAACTGAGTTTAGATTCCCCATTTGCAAAATATGAAAAAAGAGATAGCTCTTATATAAATTTATTTCTATCTTCAATATTTGACATTCTTCCTCCTTTTTTTTTTTTTTTGGATATGGAATCTTATTGTCTGTTACCCAGGATGGTCTTGAACTCCTGCTACTACTCCAAAGCAGTTGGGACAAGAAGGCATCCACAACCATGGTTAGGTAATACTTGGTATTCCTAATATTTTAATCTCCCCAAACTCTTGACCCCATGACTAAGCTTAGTAAAAAGCTTGCCATTCGGTTTAAGACTTCGGAAGAGCAGAGAAGTAATTTATTATCCTATGCTGAGTACATATGCATATCAAGGAAGAATATTTTCAAAGCACAATCAAAGTAACAGGAGCAGGACTGGAAGATCTGGTAAGGCCAGCGCTCAGAAATAGCTGTTTTTAATTTCCAGAAGGAATCAACCCAAAGCCTGAGGGACTACAGTGTATCAACTGTGCAGGACTATGTGGTCTTTGCACTGTCTCCAAGGTCTTTCCTTCTGCCCCGCCCCAAGTTTTCTACAGTTAGTGATAGTCCAACACACAGGGACAAAGGGCTGGCACACCTGTATTCTGTACCCTGAGGCTGAAGATGGGTGCTGGCAGCTCATGCTGAGAGGGAAGGAAGCAGTGGTTAAGCAGAAGACCATGGAGTCAACAGCAGGTAGAGAGGTCTTGGTATAAGCCTTATTAGTGGGATGCTCCTGCCCCCCTACACCACTGAGCACTTCTTGAAACTGAGGTGAAAGATAAAAACCAGGAAGCATGCAGCCATCCTCCTATAAGCACAACTCTTGTACCTTTTCTTGGGAGCCAGTGTTCTTTGGGAAGACATTCGACCCTTTGTTTCCAGTGCCAGGACACTTTCGCTTCATCTTCTTCTGTTTAACTTTCTTGTGACCAGCTTTAATTTTTTTATTTTTCTGTTTGGCAGCTAAAATTCAAACAAGTTGAATTTTTAAAAAAACATATGACATCGGTTTAACCTTCAGAAATATGCCTTATGATAATTCAGGGAACCTGCACCTCAGTGAAGGAAAATTGGTAGGACAGTGACCTGACTCTCTAGAAGCTTTGCTATTAAGAAGCAAACAGAGAATTCTAACATCCTAATTCCAAATGCATTGTTTTGAAAAGAAGTGATGGATGGGAGGGGAAAGCAAGAAAATTAATTAAATCAATCTTGCACACCACAGGCCAGAACATTTTGAAGACATCAGCAATTGACTGATCTAATTAAAACTGCCATATCTATAGAAGAAAACTACAGCAGTTTAAAATTATCTCATATATTATAGATTTTCTTTTGAAAATGTGTCATAAAGCCGAGGATAGGCAGCATATATGTGGATACAAGCTAATTTTGTTTGTTATCCGGGAAGGGACCTCTCAACTGATGACCCCATCAGATGGCCTGCAGACAGGTCTCCAGGGCATGTCCTTGATTAATAATTATTGTGAGGGCCCAGCTCACACTACCCTGGACAGGTGGACCTGGATGGTATAAGAAAGCAGGCTGAACAAGTCATGGGGAGCAAGCCAGTAAACAGCACCCTTCCATGGTCTCTGCTTCATTTCCTGCCTCTGTGTCCCTGCAGTGGCTCCTTTCAGTAATGGACTGTTTGTTACCTGGAAGTATAACATGAAATAAACCCTTCCCTCCACAAGGTGCTGCCATGGTGTTTTATCACAGCAATATACAGTCAACTAAGGCAACTGTAAGCCTCATACTGAGGAAACTAGGTTTAGAGAATGAGAAGTTCAAGGCTATCTTCAGCTACATAGCAAGTTGCAGACTACCTGGGCTACATGAGATCCCATCTCAAAATATCTCATACATGCATGCACACACACACGCGTGCCAAAAAAGAAAACATGCCATATATACTAAATTTACCTATAGATGTACTTGAACGGAGTAAATACTTGGAGGAAATCACAGTAAATGGAAAGCATTAAGAATTTAATTTACGCTGGGCAGTTGTGGCACATCTTTAATCCCAGTACTTGGGAGGCAGAGGCAGGAGGATCTCTGGGTTTGAGCCAGCCTGGTCTTACAGAGCAAGTTCCAGGACAGCCAGGAGTCAGAGTTACACAGAGAAACCCTGTCTCAGAAAAAAAAAGAAAGAAAGAAAGAAAGAAAGAAAGAAAAAAGAAAAGAAAAAGAAAAGAGAGAGAAAAAAAGAAAAGAAAAATATCTATGGCCAAATTGTATTTTAGTAATTTAAAGCAATGGGTTTCAATTTTAAAAAGAAATACATTTCTATATTGGGGATACGGTTCTGTGGTAGAATGTCTCCTTAATACGAATGAGTCCTGGGTGATCAATCCCCAGGTCTTAAAAATATATAGACACACACATCCACAACCATCCAGCTAGTCAATTCTTTAAACAAGGGTCATATAAGCAGGCACAGCCCAACATTCATACATGCAGAAGCAAGGGATTCAGACTTCTGAGATAGACACAGCCTTTGATAACCCACTATCAGCTGCCACTGTCTCCTACAAACTGAGAGCTTATGTATCAGGCAACCAAGTCTCAAGTTATGTCTCACATCAAACAAGTTCGTATCTGGCATAAAGATAACAAAAGTCACCTTCTCACCATAAGTACAGGTAAAAAAGCACTTGCCCAAATACAGACAACATGACAACTTCTGCATACAAATTCTAAGTGATAAAGCAGTTTAGCACTTACTCTGCTGGGTGCCTTCTGCTCCCTCTTTCTTCACAGATTCTTCAGGAAGTAGTGATGGTTGAGCAGTGTTTGCCATTTCTTTGGCTTGTATGTATTGCTGAAGCTCTTTGTCAAAATTATCTTCTGATTCCTGACTGCAGGTCTCACCATCACTGTATGGGTCATAGTCCTTACTTCTTGATTTTCTACGAGGCAAACTCTTTGGTGATGCTGTAGAGTTTCCAAGGTGCTTAAACTAAGTAAAGATGAAAAGATGATGTGTTTATTTAATTATTCTTTATCAATAAAAACTCGGGAATGAGATAGAGGGGTAAGAATCGAATAATCAGAGAAGCAGTAGTGAAGCGACCAGTGACCTCCTGCCTGTCTCGTTCCTCCACCCAAAGGGGCCAAGACCCTCTCTGAGCCCTCTCCTACTACTTCCTGTGTCTATCTGCCCTCAGACCTCCAAAACTCTATAGTTAATTTTGGTCAACTAGTAGCTAGCTCCACCCTTTGATTCAAAACAAATCTTACTGTCAGTCCTAGGAACGTCAGACAGAGCCCAATCAAAATATCATACAACAAAATTGAAATTTTTACAACTTAAGATTCAAAACAAGACATACATCCACATGTGCGTGTATATGTATATATATATATATATATATATATGTATAGTGAAATACTGGCTATTAGTTGACTATTATTGCATTTGTACGATGGGTACATGGGTTTCATAAAGCGTTCTCTACACTTTTTTTTTTTTTTTTTTTTTTTTTTTTTTGATTTTTCAGGACAGGGTTTCTCTGTATTGTTTTGGAGCCTGTCCTGGAACTAGCTCTGTAGATCACAGAGATCCGCCTGCCTCTGCCTCCCAAGTGCTGGGATTAAAGGCGTGTGCCACCAACACTGGACCTACACTCTTTTACAAACATCTGAAAATTTTGCAGAATTAAAAATGGGCTGGAGAAATGGCTCAGTGGTTAGGAGCACACAGCAATCTTCTACAAGACCCAAGTTTGGTTTCTAGCACCATGTCCAGGAGCTTACACCTGTAACTCCAGCTCCAGAGGAATCTGATGCTTCTAGCTTTGAAGGACACACTGCACGCATGCATGCAGGAACACAAACATGCACACATGCACACACACATGTACACAAGCCCCAAACAAACACCACAAGGAGGACTATGGAAATGGCTCAGTCAGTAAAGTTCCTGCTAATGTAGGCATAAAAATTCAAGTTCAGATGTCTAGCATCCATATAAAAGCTGGTGTGGTCACCTCATATGTAACCCTAGGAGATAGAGCTAGTGAATAGAGATAGGCAGGTCCCAGGAGTTCACTGGACAGCCAATCCAATTACATCAATGAATTCAAGGTTCATAGACCCATCTCAAAAAAAAAAAAAAAAAAAAATTTGAGAAAGAAAGACATCAAACATCAACTATTGGCCTATACATGCACTCACATATGTGTACACACACATACTTCCACACACTTAAGAAACCAGCACTGATAATGTATAGTCCTGGAACAAGTAGGTACGATAACAAATAAAGAAATGGGTTGCCTGCACCCCATCGTGATTATAAACTTCAATATGAAAGGCAAAACAAAGCTTTAGAAGGTAATATAAGAAAATATGTCCATCAATACACAAAGGACTAAATATACAAGAACATATTCTTAAAAGCACTTATTACTGGATGGAAAAACTAAAACTAAAACGAGCAGCTATCTATAACACATAATACACAAGAATGACAAACAAAAACTAATTGCAAAGAACTGTAGGTCAAGAAAACAACAACAAAATAGGTACTCTCAATGAAGGCAAGGGGGAAAGACTAGAACAGGTGCAAGTAAACAGAAAATTCACATGGGGAAAGAGTCAATAATTCTCTGGAAATGCAGCTGCAAACAGAACAAGACTGGGATGTCATGGCATCCTGGGACAGAGCCACATAGTCTTTCTCATCCACAGCGTTGTAATAAAACCTGGAGCAACCATTTTCTGACACAATTAGGTTATCAATTCAACAGCGATGCTGCTCATATGTGAGTATCCAGCAGCATCTCTCCCAGGACAATGCAGAGTGCACATGCATGATACAAGTGAAAGAATGGCATAGCAGCGCTAATAAAAACAAGCCCAGGGCCTATCTATAATAGGGTGTCCTACATTCAAATGTACTACTGTGCTTCGATAAAGATGAACAAGCACACACTAGATTTATTGATTTTAAACTGTATTCTTATGGATGACCACATAAGCAATAAAACTGTAAAGAACACAGAAGCGATCAGTATACAAGTTAGAACCTCTCATCTCAGGGGCTAACATGGAGGAAGGAGGCAGCAATACTTTTTTCTAGACCTGCAGTACTTACCTGAGTACCCTACTAAGTTAGCCAACACCCTACATATATTTGTATTAGTGACTGAAAATCCTGGGCTGAAGGAACTCTTCCTGAGGATAACCTGGGTGTCTATCATTCCCTACAACTTTCTTGGAAATTAGTTAAGATACAATATGCTATCTGCCTCTCTACAGATTGTGAACTGTGGGCATTGAATGAGGCCTGTGTAACTACCCCTGTAGGATAATAAAACTTCAGTTTCTGGATGTCAGCCTGGGTTCTTCCCCAACCCCCCTCTGGTTTTTCGAGATAGGGTTTCTCTGTGTAGCTTTGTAGACTAGGCCGGCCTCGAACTCACAGAGACCCGCCTGCTTCTGCCTCCCGAATGCTGGGATTAAAGGCGTGGGACAACACCGCCCGGCTTCCCTAGGTTCTTATCCATGGCAGCTACACATGCAGAGATAGTATTTATGTGGTAGCTTAGAGCCTTCCCCAGGAGATGAAGATGCCATGCCAGCTGTATCATCTCCCCTGGATCTTTTCATAAAGCCCATCTGTGCCTTACATTGCCAACATGAACATATTCTTGGTAATGTGTTAACATTTACTGCCTCCCCCCCAAAACAACTTCAAAAAGAGAGGAGCTGAGATTGACTTTGTGATGGACTGAACTGGAGTCTCCCCCAACTCTAAATTCTTATGTACAAGCCTTGATCTTCAGTCCTTCAGAATGGGGCCTATTTGGAAGTCAGGCCATTGCATACGAGGTCAGGATGCTTCCTAGAATCATGGAAAACCAAAAAGCACCAGAGGGGTCTGGAACAGATCTCACCTTACACATCCCAGAAGGAACTACCTTGCCAACACCTTGCTCAGCCCAAGTACTACAGGATAATGCATTTGTTTGTTCAGGCTGCCATGTTTGTATCCTGTTACACACTAATCTGCATTTTAAGTGAGTCAAACCTGTAGATTTTACATCTAATTTGATAGAAAAGAAACTTTTCAAAAATAGTTTACAGTCCATTTCAGAAATGGGAAACCAATCTTTTACAATACTGGCACATTCTCCACCTGATGGTGGGGGAGTTCAAGCTACAAAGCAAGAAAGTTACTAGAAGATGATTCTGAGTTTCCTTGACCAAAGAAACTGGGCCCTAAATGCTGAACACAACGACACAAACAGGATCCCTCATGTTCTCACATCCATCCAGAGCTGTCTGTCTAACACGCAAGCTGAACCTACTTTCTTGGGAATTTGTTCACAGTCCCGCTTTGCTTTCCATTTTACTTTCTCTGTCTGTGTTTCTTCAACTTCAGTACCATCTACTTCATCAATTCTGCAATAAAAATTAAAAATAACACATTAGTTTTATTGCATGGTATTAAAACTCATTGCTTGGGTTTATCTTAAGGTAAATTGCAAATTCAAAGTCTATTCAAAATACTCTAGTGGTGCAGCCCTTTAATCTCAGCACTCAGGAGGTGGATTTCTGCTTGGGGAGGCCAGTATGGTTTACACAGCAAGTTCTAGGCTAGCCAGGGCTACATAGTGAGACTCTGTCTCAGAATAACAATAATGCAATGATGACGATGACTAATAAATGTTAGTATGCATAAATAACCTGTAAAACTGAAACTTTATACATAATCTTAATGCTTGAGAATTTGCACATATATGTATTTTGCATCTAATTTGATAGAAAAAGAAACTTTTGCATATACATATTATATATATGTATCTCAATCACCATGCACTCATCATTCCAGTCATTCAGTACATATTAAGTATCCACCACATGTCAGGCTGTGGCCTCATGTCATGAGGTACAACAATGAAACAGACAAGTTATCCCTGCCTCCTGAGAGCTTTTATCTACTCATGAGAAAAAAATACAGGTACACATATAAACAACATTTTGTTCTTATGTTAGATTCGGGGTTTTCTAAACAGAAAAGATATGGAAGAATTATCAAAAAGGAGTGTAAAAAAGAAGGATATGCCAGGTACAATGCGGGAGGCCTTTGGAGGTTAGGAGACAAACACCCAAACATGAAAATGAAAACTCTTTTCAGACTCAGGCATGAGAAACTGACCATGCACAGACATTGTGTGAGCATACTCTAGCACGCCGAGAACATCAGAAACTGGAGAGCTGTGTGTCTTAAACCACACCACCATTCTGTATTTCCCTCTGAACTTCACTGCTCCATTAGGGACCATGACTCTCACTCTTATTTCTTGACCCACCCATAAGCTAGTAAGCCAGCCCCAGTGGTACTGAGCTGTCCTTTTCACCCCCTATTGCTGCTGCTACTTTTTTAAAAGATAGGATCTGTCTTAGTTAGGGTTTCTATTGCTGTGAAGAGACACCATGGCCACAGCAACTCTTATAAAGGAAAGTATTTAATTGGGGTGGCTTACAGTTTCACAAGTTTTGTCCATTATTATTATGGCGGGACATGGCAGCATGCAGGCAGACATGGTGTTGAAGAAGGAGCTGAATTCTACATCTTGATCAGCAGGCAACAGGAAGTGAACTGCCACTGGGTGTAGATTGAGCAAAGGACACCTCAAAACCTGCCCCTGCAGTGACACTTCCTCCAACAAGGCCATAACTACTCCAACAAATCCACACCTCCTAATAGTGCCACTCCCTATGAGCTTATGGGGGCAAATTACATTCATACTACCAATGTCACTATGTAGACCAGGCTGGCCCCAATCTATCTGCTTCTGCCTCCCTTGGACTGGGATTAAAAGTGTGACACCATGCCCAGTTACTATTTCTTCATCTCCTCGGTTGGCTCCTCATCTTTGCAACTCTTAACAAAGCCAGTCCTCACCGCTCTTTCTCTATACTTTCATTCTTGGTAATGTCTTTCAGTCTCCTGGCTTCTAACATCATCTTTATATAGCTGATTCCAACACCTTAGTCTCCAACTTGCTGCCCTTAACCAAACACGCAACTTTCATAAAGGCTTTTCCTTAACTGTCTTCTTTATATACTATCTACACTATCCTCATTATTCCACAGCACCTCTTAATTCATCACTCAGTTTTCATTTACCCCATGGCTTTCATTATCATCTAAAATAACCATGTATCTGTCATCCACCTCAATAATACACAATTCATGAACATTAATATTTTTCTGCATTTCATTTATTGTTCTATCACCATGACCTACAATGATGTGTCTTATGTAGCGGGAACTCAATAAAAATTGTTTTAGATGAATGAGCATTCCCATTATGAGCAAAAAGTCAGAAACCTCAAGACTGACTCACTTGCAAGATCGTACACACATACTCTCATCAGGCTGAAGAAGTGGCTTAGTTAAGAGCACTAGCTGCTCTTCCAGAGGACCTACATGGTGGTTAACAAACATCGCTAACACCTGCATCATAGGATTCAATGCTCTCTTCAGGCCTCCAAGGGCAAGGCACATATGAGGTGCAGAGACAGATGCAGGCAAAACATTCACACATAAAATAAATTAAAACAAAACAAAAAGTTTCAACGCACTGGAAAAAAAAACAAAAACTACAGGCAAAAATAAAAAAAATAAACTGAGAGAAAAATACAGAAATCTAAAATCTTGAAAAATACCTAAAGTCAAAGTAAAAAGCAACATATTCCAAGCCATTCTTCAACTGTCTTTTGGCAAATCCAGTGTCTCTTACATATTTCAGCCAAATTTTAGTGAACAGGTATTGTGCCTAATATATTTTCAAACTATTAGCTATTTTTAAAATCTTGCTCAATTCTCACACAAGTTAAAACTACCAATTCGTTTCTGTTGTTCTTAACGGCTGCAAGTAATCTCTGTCCATTTCTTTACAGTATCTATAGGACTTGATTTACATGAATAATTCTGCTTTAGAAGCTGGGTGATGAAATCATATGTACTGAGGTCACACTATTCCAGCACCTTAATCTTAGATCTGCCACCCCCACTGCACAGTCTTGACAGGTGACTTACACTCTCTATGCCTCGATATTCTCATCTGTAAAACAAGAGCATCACTTTCTCCTTAAGGTTGACATGGGGACTAAATTCCACATGCAGCACACAGCAAAGCGCTCGATGGTAGCCCAATTAGGGTTAATAGTTCCCACTAGAGACAGAGCAGTGAACATATTCTCTTCCCCCTTGAGATAGGGTTTCCTTGTGTAGCAGCCCAGGATGGCTTGGAACTTGCTCTGTGGACCAGACTGGTCTCAGACTCACAAGATCTGCCTGCCTCGGCCTCTCAAGTGCTAGGATTGAATGTGTGCCACCATCTCCGACCCAGCACTGGAAATGTATCTGTAATGAGGATGGGAAAAAACTTCGTGAAGGATGTGTGTCAAGGTTCCCACTGAGGCAAGGTAGGAACATAAAAGACAAGGGTTTAGGAGAGAAGATGGGATGTGGGGGCGCTTTCAACTCAGAAGACTGGAAAGTGAATAGGTACTTGTACAGAAATTCTGCATTCTGATTAACAACATGCTTTTCCAATTTAACGGAAATATTAAGTCGAAATGGTGTTTGCTGCTTTATTCTGGGATCTTTGGCTCAGAACACTGGCAGGCAGTGTTTCTATATCCTTCAAACTCTCAAGAACCAGGAGACCGGCAAAGCCGCCTCTGAGCTGAGGAGTGACAGGAAACAGGATAAGCGCACGTGCAAGCGGAGCAGTCGGCCCTTGGGGACAGGTTCGCAGAGGCCGGAGCCTCCTCCCGCCGCCCGGCCACTGTCCTCGCCCCCGACCCCCACTCCGACTTCCATCCCGCTTCCCCTCGCCACCTCTCCGCTCCGGCCTCTACCCACGCTCTAGCCCAGGCTCCGGGCTTCCAGAAGGAGCGAGGGGGCGGAGCCCGGGCGGTGCCCTGCAAAGGACGAAAACATGTGGATCACCTTTCGTCAGAGTCGGCGACACGTTTTTTACCGAGGGCCGGATTGGGGGGTTTTGAGAAAAGATTTTCAAAATCCATAACTCAGACGGGGACCGACACCCTCCACGCCGAGCAGCTACTGAGCAACCACCACAGCCGAAGGAACCTAGTGTCGCGCCAAGGGCCGCAGGCTCCGCCCCGCGCACGCGCCACTGGGGCGCGACTCCGCGCGATCCCCGGGCACCAGCTCGCGCCGGTACTACGCATGCACAGTCCTCAGTAGGGCACGGTTAGTGCCTGCACTGCGCATGCGCGGTTCTTTATGACCTTGCGGGTTTGCTTACCTCTTAGTACATTAGCAGCATTAAAAAAAAAAAAAAAAAAAAAAAGACTATCGATTCCTTTTTAAGAAGATGTATTATTTTTATGTGTACGATGCGTTTGCGTGTGTGTACATGACTGTAGGTGCCCGCGAAGGTCAGTGATCGCAGAAGCCAGTGAGTTCTAGGAACGAACTCTGCAATAGCAGTTAAGTTCTCTTAGCCGCATAGCCATCTATCTCTCCAGCCCTCTACATTTTTCTTTCTATTTGGTGAAAACCCACAGGCTGCAATCACACTGTTTCTTGTATTTTCAAATGCACATTTGACAGGTGAATAAACAAAATGAATTGCACACGAAGAAACTTCCCGGTTTCTACAACAGAAGAGTAAACACAAATATATTTAAAGCAGGCAAGTTCATTAGAAAGCACTAAGTGTAAAGACTATTCAGAAGGTGGAGGGGACCACAAACTGGCTGGGAAAGCTTGAAAGGGGTGAGTTCAATCTAGAGATAATTTCTAGAGGAAGGGATGAAATTGGAGTTATATGTGTGTCCCAAGGAGAAATGTAAATGCAGGAAAACAGATCATGTTTAGAAAACAGGAAATTGTTCAATGCATGAAAATAGAAGAAAAACTCAACTATATTCTGGGCCAGGACAGAATATCTGACTCTGTTATAACTGAAAAGATTATTTGATTCCTAGCATGAACCATGGTCCAGTCCACAGACAAAGGAAGAAAATGATTTTAGGTCTGACCTCTTCCAAAGGACAATTCTTCCTCCCCAGTTATATGGACAGTTACCTTTTTTTGCACTTCAATGGTTACTAAAAATTATGAGAGAAAATTAAGAGAGAAATTAGAGGAGAATACTAGCTCATACAATCATTATTTTCATATAGACATATATATTTGTATTTCAGATTTTGGGCTAGTAAGAGGGCTCAGTGGGTAAAGGCATTTGCTGCCCAGCCTACCTGATAGTCTGAGTTTGATCTCTGGAACCCACAAGATTGAAAGAGAACCAACTCCCAAAAAGCAGTCATCTGACCACCACACTTGCCATAAATAAAATAAATGTGATTTTAAGAAATGAAATGCCCTGCCTGGTCTTGGTGAGTTTCAGGACATCCAGGGCTATGCAGAGAGACCTTGTCTCAAAAAAACTTTTTTAAAAAAATTGAAAGTCCATAATAGAATGAAAAATAGAAACAAAGGAGATTAAATGGGGGGGGCATACAATTTACATGGAAAACATCAGATATTCGTATTCCCAAATAACCATTAGAAAAGCTTATACCCATGTGCGGCAGATCAATCCAAAATGGCTCAGTCGAAGAGCACTGGGTGCTCTCCCAGTACCCACATGGTGGCTTTCAAGGGAGCCGGTGCCCTTTTCTGACTTCTGAGGACACAGGTGTGCATTCAAGCAAGAATCCACACACATACAATTAATATATCTAAAAATGAGAGAGCATTGAAGATCAGTCTTGGCTACATAGGAAGTTTGAGGCCAGCCTGAACTACATGAGACCCTTCACACACACCCAAATAAACCAGTATGCTAAATGAAATAAACAAAACTCATGAGGACAAATATCTAGAACATTCTAATTCGTAGAGTATTTATAGAATATTCTAATTTATAGCAAAATGGGGGTACCAACTGCTGAAGAGTGGTTAGTTTCTGTTTGAGGTGATGGAAAAGTCTGGAAACAGTAGTGATTGGTGCACAATAGCCTGAATATAACTAATTACACTAAATTGTGTAGTTCAAAATGAATGGAAGGGCAAGTTTTATGACATTTCACAAAAAGAGAAGAGAAAAGGAAGTATCTGACATGATGAGAGGGCGCAATGACTTCTTGAAGACCTTGTTCCAGCATTTGCTAGGTATATACTGCCTTGAGGCTGGATGTAATCACCAACAAAGGCTGCTGCATTTCTCACTGTTCTGGGACCTAGGGTACAAGTGGGGATTGATACTCTGCATGGTACCTCGTATTTCTCCAGGAAAGAGTTTGCTTTCCTTCTCATAGGTGAAGATTTTAGAGTCATCTTTCAACCTCACTCAGCACAACTATCATTTGGGGTTTGACAATTCTTTGCTTTGGAGGACAGTTGTGCATTGAAGGAGATTAAGCTGCTTCTACCACTAGATGTCAGTAGTACTTGCTCCTGACGTCAAAATTCACAGGCTTAGAAGAGAAAGACTGTCGAAAGGGAAAATCTTTTGAAAAGCCTAAAACGTTGCTAGAATTAATGAAACATCAACTTACAGGTCTAAACAAACAAATACCAACTTGTTGAAGGAGAATGATCCCAAAGGCACTGGTTCTAGGTTAATCAATTCCCAAAGCAGGAAGGTGTCTATTAAAGGATATGTCAGTTTTCCACAGCTTCAAGACTCCCTTTTGTCCATGCAGGGCTCATCAGGCCCAGGAATCCATAGGTAAAAAGGAAAGACTCCCACTGGTGCAATGACGTGTACCCACTAGTCATTCCAGCCACAGAATGAGGTCAAGGAAAATGTGACCAGAATGAAGGATGATTTCTTAGTCTGGGTAGAAGATAAACACTCTTGTGTTCTATGGCTAAACAGAAATGACCAGCCAAGGAGATAAGACCAATTCCAGGTAATAGGAACATGACAAAAAACAGAGGAAAAGATGTAAAAGTGTCAACTACAAGCCTATTTAAGCTCATTCTAATAAAACATAACTTTCCTTCAAAATTAAGTATACACTACTCATTTCAAGATTATTGATGGGATGTGAGGGCGACCTGGCTGCTACATCTGCCATCCCATTGATCGCCAGGGTTGATTCCGCTGATCTGACTGGCTAGGTGGGTGTCCCCTTCCTCCCTCACCGCTCCATGCGCGCTCCGTGGAAGAGGCCGACCTTCCCCGAATAGAAGAGGACAGGTCTTCGGTCAAGGGTATACAAGTAGCTGTGCTCCCGTGCTAGAACCTCCAAACAAGCTCTCAAAAGATTATTTCTGGGTCTGGCAGTGGTGGCACACGCCTTTGATCCCAGCACTTGGGAGGCAGAGGCAGGTTAATCTCTGTGAGTTCGAGGCCAGCCTGGTCTACAGAGCTATTCCAGAACAGCACAGAAAAACCCTGTCTTGAAAAACAACAAACAAAAAAGGTATTTCTGAAAGCCACTGATATTTACGAAATATCCCCCAACATTTCATAATATCAAGACATAAGATCATACTTTAATGACCTCAACAGTTATTTTTTTTAAATCTGTAATGATTGAGTGAACTTAGTATTATCAGAAAAGTTGCAAGCCAACTTAATCTTGCTTACAGTGCCAATGCGCACTAATACGGAGATGGATAACAGCAACGAGTTTGAGGGCCTAAGCATGATTTCGGCGATAAAGGTTTTTTTCCTCCCCCACAAAAATAACTGGCAGTTCCTTTTTATCTTGCGCAGCTAACGGTGGCACAGGAGCAGAGGGTTGTATGATGCATCCGGAACTCCGAAGCCCAAGCCCTTGGAGGACGGCGAAAATCGCAGGAACACCGAGAAACCGGCACAAAGGACCTGGTGGACACAGCAAGCACTGCGGGATAGCCTGCCCCTCCCGATGTGACTCCCAGCGCCACCCGGCCGCATCTCCATCTTCCCTGCCCAGCCATCAGGTTGCTGCCTCCGCCGCTGCCGCTAAGGCACTAAAATCCCGCCCCTGGAAGTGATTGACGGGTAGTTTCCTCCAATGGCCAATGCGCTCAGCCCCGGCGGGCAGGGATCGGGCTGCGTCTGGCGGAGGAATCTCACTTGCCCTTTAGTCCCGGGCAAGGTGTTGCGGCCGGCGCCATTTTCTGAGCCGCCTGTCTCGGGTGCCGCCATGTTGGTGAGGAGAAATCACCGTTACGGCCACTGTCCAAATCCCCGCTTCGCTGCACGCCACCCGCCGGCTCCCACGCCTCAGCCTCCGGCGGCGAATACAGACTAGAGCGGCAGCGCCGGCAGCGCGGGGCCGTTGCCCAGTCTTTGCAGTTAGAGCCCCATCTCTCTGGCGTGGTTGTTAATAGACTGGAAAGTCTGTGTCTGTGTCGCTCACTAGTAACCGTGAGTTTTTACCACCTCGTCACCTGTCGGCGGCGGCCGGGAACAGGTGCCCGCAGGCGGCGCAGGGGTCCTCCCCGCGCCCCGCCGCCGCCGGCCTCCAGACCTGCCCTCCAGCCCCGCCCCGTTCTTGACCAAACATGACAGACTCTGAACATGCAGGGCACGACAGGTCGGGAACCCTTCTTGTCTGTCTTTCTGTCGGATGAGAGGAGGGGTCGGGGCGGCGGGAGCGGGCCGGGGCCGGGCGCCTCCTGCATGACTTAGACGTCTCTGTGTGGCTCCATCGGTTCCGTGACGCGCACCTCCGTCCACCGCAGCTGGCTGCCGGCCGGCCGCGGGGGAGGCCGACCCCGGCCGCGCCCGCCTCCCGGAGCCGGGGTCGCCGCTCGCCTCGCCGCCCCGCCCCCGCCGGGCACGTGCGAGCCCCCCGCCCCCGGCCCGGCTCAGTCGTCTGCGGCCGTGGAGTCCGCTCGCCGGCCCAGTAACCGGCGTCGGCAGCGCCATTGGGGACGGCCCCGAAGGCTCAGTAGTAGTAGGCCTTTTGGATGTTTGCCTCCTACCCGAGTCCACCTCTGAAAATAAACATGTTTAGTTTTTAGGAGGAAAGAAAAAACAAAAACAAACAAAAAAAAAAGCCTTTTCCCATCCCCCACCCCCAGGCCATGTGTCTGCTCCCGCAGTCGTATATCCTCATCCCCAGGAATGTGAAATGGCAGTTTTCAAATGGAGTATGTTAACACAGACTACAGATTTTAGCTTAACCTGATTTCC